CTGGGAAAAATTCTCTGGCTTCTCTTTAAAAAAAAAAAAAACGTTGTGTTGCTTTTTCTACAATGATATAGTGAATTCGGCTGTAAGTTCTCTTTAAGGTTATCATGCAAAGGAAAAGCCTTAAGAATTTCACTGTTCAGTTTTATAACTTTCACAGCATTGATAATGCCCACTGATACTTGGTACTGGAATATTGTTGGTGTTCTTCTGTAAATATATGGACAGTGCAGATCTGCTATGGATTACTTTATTAATGCTGCTCACATGGCAAGAAAGAAGCTAATTTATGGGGTTGTTTTGTTTTGTTTTGTTTTTTTACAGGGATCAAACTCGGTTCCTTGCACTTGCAAGGCAGGTGGTGGAACCACTGAGCCAAATCCCCGGCCCAAGAAGCTAATTTCTAGGGCAAGATTTCACTACTTGGACATGTTATTAGTAGACTTGTTACACTGCCAGAAGAAATCAGAGATAGTACTTAAAACAAAAAGATTTCATTCAGGACCATTACAGTAGGGGGAAGAGACCTCAGTTCAGAAGCTGGCTCAATTCCAAATATATAATGGAAATTGATAGCCAAGGAACAGGTTAGAGGCCTGTGGATAGAAAATTATTGTGAGGAAACATCAATGGTAAAGCGGGGATTCTTGCTAAACTGCCCTTAACAACATTCTTGGTAAGGAAAGGCCAGGGTGATGAGACATCACCTGGGAGAGGGTGGAAAGTGGTGACTCCAATTAGATATCTGAAGTCATCAGGTATGGAGGATATGGAATGGGGAATTTTAAACTAACCTAATGAAATTCTTGGTAAATTTGGATTTTATAAGGAAGTACACAGATGGAACTAAAAGAAGATTTAGGGGTCTGACAAATTTGATTAAGCAAAGGATTTTTCTCAGTGTTAAGTCAGTTTTCTTCTGAGTTTTTGATGATTTATACTCTGTGCTGATTAGAAGTTGGCTTCCACACCATGGAAATTAACGGTAAACTTCTGTTTTCTCTTGCTGTTAAGATGAAGTTTCTTAACGGGGAGAAATTTGAATGATTAGAGATGGATTTACAGTGAATAGCAAACATTTCACCTCCATTCCAAGGACTCTGGTCTTCATTCTGGACTACTACTTAATTATGTAGAAGTGAAAAGAAGGGGGACTAAGAGTTTGAGTAAGATCAGAGATAAGGACAGAAGAAAGCTCTATTTGGGGGAGGAACACTCAGAAAGATAAGCACATGGGGCTCTGAATGGAGGCAGACCCTAGAGATTTTAGTCCTTAAGCCAGGGGTTAAGGATAGTTCCCAAACTTCTCTACATCTTGACTCTAAATTAGGTCAGAATCAAAGAATGTAAAAATTATAGTTATGTGGCATGGGCAGTTTCACACTAATTAAGAAATGCCAGCTGTTTGAGGACAGCATTTCAATTTACTACTAAGAAGCTATAAGATCAGGAAATACAAGAGAGTGGTGAGAAATGCACCCTCTCAACCTACGCATAAGCTTCTCTTGTGGCTTTCCTCTAGCAGCATAAACATATCTAATACCTTAATCATGTGCTCTTTAGACTGATCCTCATGGGCCGCTAAGATACCAACTCCACTGTCATCCTTGGTGGACTTCCCTTTTCTAACCCTATTTAATATAAGACTTCCTAGAAGGAGTCTGAGTCTTAGGGTTTATTTTGAATATTATACGTGGAGCTGCATTTTATTGCTTGTTTAATTTCTGTCCATCATCATTATAATCATCATCATCATCAGAAACTTTCACTGGATAGGAGTAAAACTTTAGAGCTGCTTAATTTTCTAATTTTAGAAGTCATATAACCAAAGCCCAAATGGGTCTGCCTACATGTTTTCTCTTAAAGCCAGGCTGTTTTGGTGAGAATAGTTGTGTAGAAACAAGCTAAATTTTCAAGGTTCACAGTGAGACACTGTTCTGTACCTAATTCAATCGTGATTTTTTCTTATTATATTTTAAGCTTATGGTAAATTCTCTCTTGCATGAATATACATATTTTTGCTGCATCTGTGCAACAGTCCTGTGAGGTAGGTATTATTATTCCCATATTACTAGGTAGATATTTAGGTAGGTGAGGTCACCCCAGATAACTGGTGGCAGGACTAGGACTTGAACCCAAGTGCAACTTCAAACCTTGTTCTTTTTCCATGTAATTTACAAGTACCTTTAAAGTCAATTTCTAAATTAAAAATTCCACTCTAGCCACTTAAAAATAGCCTACAGGTCTGATTTGCAAATATCCTGAACCTTTGCTGTAGGTTGATAACTTGCATTAGTCATAATTTAAAATTTAATCTCAGTGTCTCAGATTATAGAGTTGAATGGTGACATTCATGGTACAGTGGTACCTCAGTTCATGAACTTAATTCTTTCCATGAACGAATTCTATGACCAGAATTCACAAAAACTTTGCGGTTATCACTCCTATCCTGCACTCCTTGCTGCTGCTTTGATTTCTCAGATATTTCATGTCCTTTCTCACTTCAGGCCCATGTTATATGGCTATTTTTCCACTTCCCTGTTTCCCCACTACAATTTAACTCTTAGCCCCACTTAGGAGACTATTCTTCCAGGCTGTCGTTTCTGTGCCTTCCATCCCTACCCTTTCCACCTCCTTCCCAGTTTGGACTGCATGCCCTTCTTTTGGCCCCAGAAGTACCCTGTACTATCCTATCTAACAAGACTCATTCTGTATCCAAAAGCATATTCAAGTGTCTGGCCCACTAGACTAGAGTCTCCTAAAGTAGAGATCGTAGGGATCATGGCTGTATTATCTGCCACATTCTTCACTGCCAAGCATAGGAACTTAACATTTTCAGAGATGAGTTTTTCCATTAAAAAGAACGTAAATGTGACATAATGATTTAGGAGTAACAGGGAGTTTGCTGTCTCTTATAACTAAAATTTTCAGAAGATGACTCTAGTATGAATCCCAGAGTAAACTTACCCTGGCCCAAGTTGAGCCATATAGCCAGGCCTTGGTAATAGACTAAAAGTTGGAGAGATGTGAATGGTTCACCAGAGGAAAATTGAGGAACTTTTACTAGAAAGGGTAATAAGTTCTGTCATTACAAAATGTCAGATGTACACTAATTTGCCATTGTAACTGATGCATTCATGATGCAGGGTTCTGCTATACCTCAACACTATATTCAAGGAGATATTTGAGAAGCTTCCTGTGTTGTCTTTAGGATTCAG